CAACTATTGATTGGTAAATTACACTGCATCTCTATCTGGCCAAGCATCGTTGGAAGGTTTTATGAAAGAGAAATTACACTTCACAATTATTCCAAGAATTTTGAATAAGTTGGGCTTTATTTAGATAAATGAGGACCATCTCCATATATAGATTTTTCCCCCAAAATTTTAGTTATGAAGCATTGTATATTCTCCCAAGTCATGTTTTATTTTCAATGATTATTCAATATGTTTGAAGTAACTTCTCGTTAATGATGCCCCAAATTGCGTATGATTTATATTAAAACATCATTTGGCCTGTGATGGTTTGGCACCCTGTCATGGGTTATTCCGTGCCATGTGTCCATGCTGGGATGGGCTGTGAATCCCCGCGATCCTGCACAGGACAAGCTTGTATGGAAAATGTGTGAATGAATGAAATTTGCTTGTGTGTCAGATGGGATCAATTTTAAATTATAAGACTCAATAATAAATATTCCGGGCATGTGACGTCGGGATTGAAAGATAATGGCATTATTGCTAGGTTACACTGTCCTATATCCCTTTCTTCACCCATGAGGTGATTTGCGGTGGCGTCATTGCCTATAGAAGCCATTCAATATTAAATTCAATATTAGAGCATTGAGAAGAATTAACCATTATTCTCCTCTGGCAGTGTGATAAAGAAGCAGAAAGGTTGCAGATACTGGGGAGGAAATAATGGATCACTTCCTTTGGCCTCTATGTCAGGATGCCAAGGATCCCAGAGTCTCCTTTCATTGTCACACGTCCTAAGAGAGCCCCACATCAGACACCCTGTCACTTCCTAGAAACTTGCAATTCACGTTTGTGTTAAAGTTAAATGTTCTTTCTTGGTTAATTGCCTTGTCAGTCTGTGGATCACTCATAATAGATTACACTGCGTCCCTATCTGGCCAAACATCGTTGGAAGGCTTTTGTTAGTTCTTGTCAATGCAGAATAACTAAATGTTCTTCAATGCGAAGGCAAAATGGAAGGGAGGAGACTTAGGGAGATGTATATTGTAAATATTATGTGGTCTTTGGTGAGAGGGAAATAGTTCCCTTTATTATACCACATAGATTTCTTAATAGTAATATATTACATTAGCTTACCTACTTGTTTCAATTCTTAATATAATTTGATAACATTTTCTTTACCAAATCAAAGTTATTTTAAATAACTGCTAGATAATTACCCAAAATCCCACTCTCCCCAAAAAATGCAATGATAGGAACACTTTAACATATATTTTTACTATTTAAATTAACAATTGACAATAACATGACATTTTCTGCGACCTAAAGTACTCAAAGTTTGCTCAGTAATTGTTGTCCTAGTTACTATTTCAGGGTGGGTGAATTTGAGATGTCAAACAAAAGTTGAATTTGGTGAGAGAGGTTGTGGATGGGTTAGCCTATAGTAACCAAGACAGCAAAAGTAATCCTATGGTTAGATTGAATTGTATTCTTCCAAAAAAGCAAAAGAGGGATTTAAAAAATATCAGTCAATTGCAGGTGGAGGCATAAAACAATGTGATGTAATCTTAAGCCAGGTGTATATCCATGGATTTTCAAAATGGATGAAAGTTATTTCGCCGATCCTCCTCCAACCAGTAATTCATGTTGAATGCCTTGTTCAGCCCTCGCGGTTAGAAGTTTTAAACCTGGAATGACTATTGGACTGTTGTCCTAAAAGATCTCAAACTGGCTTTTTATATTTTGGGTTGCTTTGCATAAAAATACTCCAAAAATAAACATGCATCACATCATAAACTCAAATCTTTTTAAACGACATGACAGACTGTGTACCCACTGTCGAGGGTAGCTTACACATAAATCAATGTCATATACATAACTTTGTTCACAGTCCTCCCTTCCAACAGGCCTATAATGAGTCTCCAATGAGTTATTCAAAGAGTAAAAAGAAGATACACACAAACACAAAGTATTCATACTGACCACTCTTATGTTTGAAGCAAGATGTATCATCTTTTAAAAGTATTTGCTAATAACTTGTTCTTTTCTCTCATGGTAGTAAAAGTTGTGGCAAAATAAAAGAGGAAAAAAAAAACATGTAGTGTAAATGCAAACTCATAATGTATTCCCAGAAGAGCAGCTGTCGTGGACGTTTCTTTCCACAAAACTGCAAAAAAACAATGAAACAAGGGAGTACACAAGGGTATACATTACATGAGGAAGACTCAAAAGTGCATGACCTACTTCTGGAAAATTCACATCTCTCATGCAAAAATAATCGGGATGCACTATGATTACAAAATAATGAATGCCATTGAATTATGAGAAGATCTCAGTAGTGTGGAATGCTGCTTATTTTCTGACATGTACGTGGCGATAAACGCAGCCCTACCGAGGGCACTCAAGAAGCAGCGTCTAGATGGGAAGCCAGATTCTGCGAGCTGGAATTTGCAGAGGAATGTTATATAGTCTGCTGACCACCACTTGTTTACTGTTTGGCTACTGCCCAAAGAGTCCTGGGGCCAACAGCCTCGAGGCCGCGGTTCCAGCAGCTGCAGACTCTTGTGGTTCTTTAATGAGGTAGATTGTCTGTGTTGAGACTTTCTAATAAAATTGTGAATGATATAGCACAGTATGATGCCACAGGCACAGCTGCATTCCTGTTCGCTGCACTTTTGCTGTGCTGGGAGAATGAGTCTCCGGACCGGCAGTACTCACACCTAAGGGGCTTTGTTTTTATGCAGCATGATGAACACAAAGATAATAATAACTCTCATGAAATGATTACTATATCCTAGTCCCATTTAGTATTTTGGATGCTTTCGACAACAGTTATTGCCATTTTTAAACAGTTTCAGTCATTTGAGCACGACTGTAAGTACTAGGGGTGTAACAGTTCCTCGATGGTTAAGGCCACAATATGATTTAATCGACCCAGTTAACAAATATTGATTCATATCATTAAATCATGACGACATGTTGAAACATTGCTGAAAAGAAAATCTGGAAAAAATCTTACACATAGAGCAATCTAGAGACTCACCTTAGAGAGTAGAGACCAATTCATTATGGTACATGTTATGTAGCGCACTACCCCTGTGTTACTAGCTTTCCAGAGAGTAAGCTACTGTATACATATCTAGAAATAGTTTTTTTGTTAATTAATTAAAGTATAAATACAAGACATTGCTTCTTGTGCAGGTTAGTTTCGTGTTTTTGAGACGTACAGTTTTTTCAGCATACTGTGTTGTTAAATTGAAAACATTCATTGAGAAGTTTTTTTGAATTCAAAGAAATTCTGCTAAAATCAGTTTTATGTTAAATGTTTCACTTTGTTGAAAATACTGATAACGTAGTACTGAATTGTTATTGCAGTAACGTTTCAGATATCACTAGACATCAAATTGCTGCCTTGAAAAACTGAATCATATTGTGACAAGGTTTATGATTTATACCCCTAAGAAGTACAGTCATATCTGTAGTGTCTGGCCTTATAGTCAGATCAACAAGGATGTAGGTAATCATTTTGTAGTAATCCATGCAGTTTTGTTTTTTAGAGTTTTCGTTTCCTTCCACTACATTTAGACTCTGCTGAATTAATTGAAATAACAATAACTCATGTATAGACTTTAATCTGAAGATTGATGCAGCCTTAAGCTTTTTGTAAAACAATAACGATGTAGGGCTCTGGAAACAGCAAGGCATCTAACCTGCCAGTTTTACAGTGACCTACTTGAGCTTTTGCTGCTTACTGGGGAATTCAGCCCTTCAGCCATTTTTATTTATATTCTGCTTGAATTGGATTTGTGTTGTTATCAAACAAATTGGCATTGGGGACCAAAGCACTGTTTTACAAATCATGTTGGATGGTGCTAAAACCCACAGGCTCTTTGTCCACAATCCATCATGCTACTGATTGGATGAAATGGTTGTCCCATGTCTGAACTGTGAGTTATATTCCACAATGGTCTTTTCGGCTGCTTTCATCTGACATTGTTAAATACGAAAAATAAGCAGACTGTTATTTAAGAGGGAGGAAGAGGGTGTTCACTTTCGGAGGTGTTGCGATTTCATGACTCTGTTGGTAAAATTTTAATGGATGGCAACCTACATAGAGTGCAAGATAATCTTCTTTGTCTCTGCACATCATCGCATACTGTTAAATTAATTTTTATCAAGAAATGTATTTTGGGCTATGCACAGATGTCTAACATATTTATAAATTGAAGTAAATATTTATTTCGATACCCAAGTTCATTGTGAAGTCATCGGCTGTTTTAACAAACGGGCACTGCAGATTCTATTGATACGTAGCGCATGCTGAGCAAAATACAGTCGCTGTATTTTTTTTTAAGTGATGTAATGTAAAATGTAGCAATTTTACCCAATAGACTAAAATATAACCATACAGCAAATTTAAAATCCATCTGTACAAGAGTCTACTGAAATAAAATATTCGTACAGATAGAAATAATCAAGTATAATGAGAAAGATACAGGAATGGACATAGTTATTTAACACATATTCAAAAACATTATATGATAGTATATGAGATTATCATTCGCTGATTTGAGTGTATGTGTAGGACTGGACCCTCCTGTCACATTGCCGCCAAATAGCTCACTTAATACAGAACGATTGTCCACAGAAATGTCACCCTAAACGTAATTAAATAATGAATAAATGACACCGGACAAGTTAACTTTTCATGTGTGTGACATTTAGATTTTCAGGAGAAGGTAGACTGTGGTGGCGGTATGTTGCGTAACTCCAGCTGGCTGGGATGATGACCAGATTATAATATATAATTATAAGTGTGAAGCTATACATGGACACAGTTGAAATTCTGCAAATTGCACCAGATACATTTACAAAAAAAAATACTGTGTCATGGTGAGGATACTGATAATTAGTATTATTATCATTTTAATAATAGGTTAAGAAAGTGTGGTACCTTGAATGTTTGATGTTTATTTGTGAATCTTTGATGCATCGGTTTAATTTCTTTCCTGTTTTTGTGCCAGAACCTTTCAGGTAGGTCCTCACCCCTTCTGAAATGGACTTACCGTGTGAGGTATATCTGCTGGTGGGTTTGCTCATCTGCCTGGCCTTGCAGTCCTGGGCACAGGAGAGGGAATATACAGTTCGAGAGGAGTTGCCGGAGAATGTGCGGATCGGGAACCTTCGCAAAGACCTGGACCTGGCCCTCGACCCAGATGTCAAGCTCTCCTCACCCTTGCAGTTCAAGCCCGTTTACAAGACTGGGGACGTACCTTTAGTGAGAGTGGAGGCGAGCTCTGGGGACATCTTCACCACCTCCAACCGCATCGACCGTGAGAAGCTCTGCTCTGGCGTCTTCACTGAAAAGCGCTGCTTCTATGAAATCGAGGTGGCTGTGCTGCCCGATGAGATTTTCCGCCTCGTCAAGATCCGCTTTCAGATAGAGGACATCAATGATAATGCCCCACTCTTCCAGTCCACGGTCATCAACATTTCCATCCCAGAGAACACAGCCATTAACTCCCGTTACCCTGTGCCCTCTGCTTTGGACCCAGATGTGGGAATCAATGGGATTCAACACTACGAGCTTGTAAAGGTGAATCTTTTCACCAATTACTATTTGAAAACTAAGAAATTACAACAGATACTGATCTCAACAAATGAATGCATGTGTGTCATTTTCAGTGTGTTTAATTATCTTAGTTGTTCTCTTCTCCTTTTGTAAAGCAACAACAGCAATGCTGTTTTCTTCTGCAGAATTTATTTTCAAGACGTCCTTTATGATTATAGTTAAACTTGTACAGCCTCCAAACTCCATGAAGTGTCTCTTTAGATGCTGTTAAAGTGGATCAGCTGACTGGATTTTATTATCCCACTTGGCCAGATATAATTATGTTGGCTAAATGGAGCCAAAGCCATCCAGCCCCTGAGAATGATGAGATACATTTTTAGGCTTGAATATGTGACCTGTCTTCGATCGTTTAGCTGTATGACGGCTTTTATAGTGGACATGTGGTGAATGACAGGAATAAGGAAAACACTTGTGGTATTTCACTGCTATTATGATGATGCTGCGCAGTGATTAAATTAGGCTATGAAAATACCTTTCACTGGCAGATTGATAATGACAATGCCTGGCTGAAAAGTCCTCAGCACTATATTTGAGATTCTGATCGCCTCAGTATGGTAATCATAATGTGACTTATTGAGTCCACATGGAATAACGAATGATAAATGGTGTCGTGGTAGGTCTTTAATTGGAAAATATTAATCAGTTCCTTGTGCACCACTCGGATCTTCTCACTCATCTGTTAATTGAAGGTTTATGAAAAATGGTGCAATATCCTGAGAGGGCTAACATATGCAATTATAGCTCAAAAACAACAAAATGTGACTTGTATTCCATTTAAATGACAAACACAAAGAGCACCGCAGACATGTCAACTGCTGGCCGGAGCAATTAGCGTTGTTTTTGCTGTTTCATGGGTTTTAAAAACACTCAGAAATCCCGCATCCTGTAGTATATGAATCATGAACTATATAGACGTAAATAATATTATAACCCTGTTATAAAACGAAGTGAAGAGGGTCTGGTGTAATGCTTTTCCATAAAAATGGGAGCCAAAAGTAATGGGGGGGGGGGGGGGGGGCAAATGAATAAATAATTGCTATTCCACCAGAATTTAGGTACTAAATAAATAAATATATATCCAACATTACAGTCTGAAGAGCAATTTGTACCTTTTTTTCTGAGAATTATGAGAATTCCCCACTTTCTGTGTTTGACTTGATTACCAATTTGCATTTTTAAAGAGGGTTTATCTCTGCCAAGGTCCCTTTGCTGCTCTGCCTTGAATTGATGAGAGTCTGACTACAATTGTTTATGCTTGGAAAATAACCAGCATAATGTTCCTCCGCATCACAATGAAGAAGCACCACTCTTTTCTCAGCCAGAAAAATAATTATTTATTTATGCCTCACATTTTTGTCAAAATGGGGGAAATCAAGTGGATATGGATGATACTACCAAAGCTCACATCAAATTAAATCTGCAAATATGTCATAAAAGACAAAAGTGGAGGCACAAGGATGCAAACAAATATGTATGGTCAAGAAATGTAGGGTATGGAAAAAAACCAAGGTAGTATTATGTTGTTTTATAGATATAGTAGTCCTCGAAAAGAAATAAATAAACAAAGCAAATAAATAAATCTGCCCAAAAAAATGTAGAAATAAGCTTCTCAAAATCTCATCACAATATTCATTTAGTGACTCTCTTCCATAAGTTAGTTTCCCAGCAGTTCTGTGTATACTTGAAACAAATCTTACTATAAAAGTGACAGATTGCTGGAAGAGAAGATCAACAAAACAAATTCTGAAGTATGTGCTAGTTGAAGGGGTGGATTTCAAATGAGCCATGTCTTTTGAGGGGAGAAGGCAAGTCAGAGGAGATGCAGATCTATCTGCAAAGCTCAATGCACAGTGACTATCTTCCCTGGGCTCCTTGTTCCGTCTCAGCATGGTGCTGCAGCGAGTGCCATCAAGTGCCACAGTGGTCTCCATTACTGCTGCAGATTTTCAGCAGCAAGTGTTATAATAAACCCGGAATAAGAATGACAATTTCTAAAAGCTAAAATGGAGAGGAAAAAATATAAAGAGGACTCAGAACAGTGGGTCCGATTGCTGTGCCTTTGATCTGCGAGTAAGATGGCATTTATTGAACGTCATTTTCTTCTGTGCCTGCTGAGGTGGACAAGGCGGCGTGGAAGCACTTGTCGCGCCACCTGGCAGGCGACAGCGATGTCATGTGAAACGAGCACGGTCAGCTCAGGCATAGTGACATGATGCATGGTTAAATGCGGCTTTGCTATTACAAAAATAAATTATGATGTAATAATAATAATAATAATAATAATAATAATAATAATAGTAATGAAGTGTAACCTCAGGGCATGGTGTGAGTAGTAGGCTCATAAAAATGGCATTTTGGGTTATTCTCTTCAGTCAGTATCTATCTATCTATCTATCTATCTATCTATCTATCTATCTATCAACACTATATCAAAAAATGACATGTTGGTCAGTCTCATTGCCAGATCAGTGTACATCACTCTAGATCAGCTACTAATATGAAGGTCTGTTATATTCACTGGTAGTTTTCAGTCTCCGTCAGTTTCATAAAGGTCATCAAATTGATTCGACGGTGCATCTTCTGATAATCCTAACTATTGAGCTTGTCTTCACTGGGGCAGAGGGCTGTCTTCCTGCAGATTCATGCTTGCTGTCTCACCACAGAATGGTCTAGGCCGGTCTGGTTTTCTGTTTTCAGTTATTCTCTTATTAAGGCTGTAAATGTGGGCAGTGTACATTTAAGGGCAAATCTGATTTATTCACTGTAAAGAGATATTTCATTAGATGCTACAGAAATAATGAGTATTAGCTTGAAAATAATGAACAAAGTTTTTAGAACCTCTTCTTTAAACTTTGTTCTATACTGGGCAGAGTGGTGGCTCTGAGGCTAGCGATCTATGCCAGCAGCTGGAAGGCCCGCAGTGATTCTATTCTGTTGGGCCCTTAACCTGCAATTGCTTTGTCCTGGATATGACATTAATCTGTATCCAGCCCTGCAAGGAGGTTCTCCAGCTTGCAGTGAAAAACTTGGGGGCAGGATTGGCATTCCAGCCACTGGAAAAAAAACTCACACTGGTCCATTCAGACTAGTTTGCTGCTGAGGTATCGCCTGCCGCATGGCTGCACTCAGGTTCTCATCCCTGAGGTGGTTCACCGTGTGCTGGGTGTGGTAACGTGCTGTAATCAGTGCCTGCTCCTTACCTAGCTCTTTAAACTTTGTCACAGACATCACAGTTATTGTCGCTAACTCATGTTATTTCATGTTATCACATGTTATGTGGGTTATTTCTTAATATTTTGATTGTTTCAAATCTGGGGTAATTACAGTCCAATAAGTTTCTTTCGCATGGACTGAAAAATGGAGACGACTGATCATTAACTCAAATGGCAGTGACGGCTACATTGTCAAATTAAAAGTACTTCACTCGTCATCCAAAGTGGAAAGTTTGGAAACACTGAAATGAGCAGAACATTATACTTGTCACAACGTTGTCAGTCTTGCAGCACAGTAAGCAGAACATACTCAATCCCCATGACAGAAGACAATGCTCAAATGCTTGACAGTTACCAGGCAGATTTGAGGATACATTTAAATTGTTCTGAACAGTAGTTTACAGGTGGCCAGTGTGTTCTCCTCTGTCATTAAATAATAATAATAATAATAATAATAATAATAATCATGTAATTTATCTCATTTCATGTATGTTAAGACAAGTTGTTTTGAACAAAAAAAATCTTGATTAAGCTTTTGACTCTGCCTTTTTTCTTTTTTTAATTTTGTCTCCTTTCTTTGTCTTACATCGTAAATACTGAAACAACTTTTCCAGTTAGTTGATCTATAATTGTACTGTAATTACTTTGAACCACCGATACCTGTTTCTCATTGGATTACATCTGCATTTTTGTCTAATTCTGCAGTGATGTTGTTTAGATTCAGCCCTCTGTGAGAGTGGGACTTCTTTAACGTGAGCATTAGGTGTGCACATCTTTAATCTATAGCAGGTGCGTAGCATTTTTGAAACGGGACCTTAGCTCTTTGACTTCTTTTTCAATAGTCTTTCTTGAGTATGAACTGCCCTTGAAATTTTGCAAGCTGCCTATTTTCCACAAAAGCAGCTCAAAGATAGTGAGGTCAGAATGAAATCTCATTCTTGGTGCTGTATTGGAGAACACACCAGGGAAGGGAACGACCTAAAATCACCCTATTATTGAAGGACCAACATTAGATAACAAACAGTTCTCTGATTTAGTTATGTGAACATTCCTCTGAAGCATTTTTAATTGCTGTATTTGGATGCCAAAATTATTTTTTTTCATCATTAATGATTTAGAATATATATAAAAATTACGAATTCTTCAATTAGCTGCCTGTTTCATGCTTTGCTTATTCAGTTCAAAGTTAAAAAAGTGACAATTTCCATTTAATATTAATGCATAATAATATTTTCACAAGAATTAGATTTGACCAAATTCATCACTAAGTCAATATCTCCGTAATTGTTGTCTCTCTCGACACCTAACACATTTTAACAGAAGGTCTTTCACCTTGATGCAGTGCATTCAATAGTTATTAAAACATTCTTTAGTCTGGCATTTCCATGGTGAAACATACTAATTTTCTCCTCTTTTTTGTTTTTATTTGTAGAGCGTGACTGAATTTGGGCTTGACATCATCGAGACTCCAGAAGGTGACAAGTGGCCTCAGCTTATTGTTCAACAGAGCCTTGACCGTGAGCAGAAGGACACGTTTGTGATGAAGATCAAAGTAGAAGATGGAGGGACTCCCCCCAAGTCCAGCACAGCCATTCTGCAGGTCACCATTTCAGACGTGAATGACAACCAACCGGTGTTTAAGGAGAATGACGTGGAAGTGCATGTCCCAGAGAATGCTCCAGTTGGCACTTCTGTCACTCAGCTCCACGCCACAGATGCTGACTTGGGATCCAATGCACAGATCCACTTCTCCTTCAGCAATCAGATCTCTCCTGCCACCAAACAGCTCTTTACCATTGACAGCACTACTGGACTGATCACGATAAGGCAGCAGTTGGACAGGGAGGTGACTCCAGTTCACAAGCTCATTGTGCTAGCGAGCGACGGCAGCTCCACCCCTTCCAGAGCCACAGTGACAGTCAATGTCACAGACATTAATGACAACGTCCCATCCATTGACACACGCTATATAATGAACCCTGTCAACGGCACTGTGTTGTTGTCAGAAAATGCTCCTCTTAACACTAAAATAGCTCTAATTACAGTGACAGACAGGGATGCTGATCTGAATGGAAAAGTGACATGCTATACCGACCATGATGTCCCATTTAGGCTGAAGCCTGTTTTTGACAACCAGTTCCTATTAGAAACTGCAGCTCCTCTCGATTATGAGACGACAAGGGAGTATGCCATCAGGATAGTGGCCTCGGATTCTGGAAAACCTCCTTTAAACACCTCGGCTATGGTCCTAATAAAAATCAAGGACGAAAATGACAATTCGCCCATCTTTCCTCAGCCTGAAATCCAACTCTCCATTCCAGAAAACAATGACCCCTCTACGCAGCTCATAAAAATCAGTGCCACCGACGCAGATAGTGGCCGCAATGCAGAGATTTCTTATACGCTGGGTCCCAATCCACCTGAGGCTTTTAACATTGATCGGCGATCAGGTATCCTTTCCGTTGGGAAAAGACTGGATAGGGAAAAGCAGGACAAGTACTCCTTCACTGTTGTGGTGAGGGACAGCGGCTTGCCACCTCTTCAGAACAATGTCACCGTGAAAGTCATAGTGCAAGACGTTAATGACAATAGTCCAGCCTTCACGCACCCAGAGTATAACTTTTATGTGCCTGAAAACCTGCCCTTACATGGAACAGTAGGCTTGATCACAGTCACAGATGCAGATGCTGGTGATAATGCTGTGGTCACACTGTCCATATTGAATGGCAAGGATAACTTTATCATTGACCCAAAAACTGGTGTAATCAAACCAAACATTACATTTGACAGGGAACAGCAAAGCTCCTACAGCTTTGTGGTGAAGGCAGTGGATGGAGGTCGACCGCAATGTGTCTCGTTTGCTAAAGTCACCATCAATGTTGTAGATGTAAATGACAACCGGCCAGTTTTTGTTATCCCCTCATCAAACTACTCATATGACCTCGTTCAGTCTACAACCAGCCCTGGGTCTGTGGTGACAAGAGTCTTTGCCATAGACAATGACACAGGAATGAATGCAGAGCTTCAGTACAGTATTATTGGGGGATCTCCAAAGGGCCTGTTTGCCATTGACAAAACAACTGGAAACATTACTTTGCAAGAAAAGATTGTCCCGGCTGATCAGGGCCTTCACAGACTGGTGGTTAAGGTCAAGGACCTGGGGCAGCCAGAGTCCTTGTATGCCATTTCCCTGGTCCATTTATTTGTGAATGAAACAGTGTCCAATGCCACCTTCATTCAAGAGCAACTGCGCAAGAGTCTTGAGACCCCTTTAGATCGCAATGTCGGTGACAATGAGGTTACACCTCATGCTAACAGCTACATTATTGTCGTCATCGCTATCATTGCAGGCACGATGACGGTCATCTTGGTCATTTTTGTGACTGCTCTGGTGCGCTGCCGTCAGACGCCAAGACACAAGGTGGTTCAGAAGGCCAAGCAGAGTGGCGAGTGGGTGTCACCCAATCAAGAGAATCGTCAAACGAAAAAGAAGAAGAAGAAAAAGAAGAGGTCTCCAAAGAGCCTCCTGCTGAACTTTGTCACGATTGAAGAATCAAAGCCAGATGATCCTTCCCATGAGCACATAAATGGAACCTTGGACCTCCCAGTAGAGCTGGAGGAGCAGACCATGGGAAAATACAATTGGGCCACCACACCAACCACCTTTAAACCTGACAGCCCAGACTTGGCGAAGCACTACAAGTCTGCATCCCCTCAACCAACTTTCCAAATTAAACCAGAGACCCCCGTCGCTCCCAAGAAACATCACGTCATTCAGGATCTCCCGCTGGACAACACCTTTGTAGTGGGCTGTGACTCCCTCTCAAAGTGCTCCTCCAACAGCTCTGACCCTTACAGCGTTTCAGAGTGCAGCTGTCAGGGAAGTTTCAAGAATCCTGGGCAGATCCACACCCGCCAGGTAAATCTTTTTTTTTTTTTGTCTTGTTTTAAATCCATCACTTTATAAGTCTCGCTCACTACCCTGATACAGCCTCACTTCCTATACTGTACAAGGCCTTCTGTTATTGCACTGGTGGATAGGGGCAGCGAGAGTAGCCTCTCTCTGCACAGTGCTATATGAGGGTTTTTACCATAAAAAAAAAAAAAATAAGAAATGAATTCTGGTATTTGCTGATGTTTTTGTTAGTGACATAAAGAAAACCATATTAATATTTATAGCAAACCGAATCCATACAGCTGAATATATGAAAAAATAAAGTGCATATTTATTGTCATTTTACTCAGTTTTAAATCTATTTAAATAAATGAATAAATAGCATATAACAACTGTAGATGTTGCAGTATGTGTGCGCACAAATCTTAAATAGTGTTGGCAGTATACAGAGTAATAACACCTTTCAGGATGCATTAGACTGGTTGTGATGCTAATAGAACCTGGTATAGCTGCATTTGCCAAAGAGGGAGTTCAACCTCAAGGTCTAATGCAGGCAGACAAGGAGGGCTTACAAAGGAACAAGAGGGTTGCAGCATGACAGGAAGATTACAGCAGTGTTTAGGCTTTTAAGAAGCTCTTGATTGACACTTTAAAATCAGGCATTCCTGCCTGAGTCTAAGGAAATTGAACAAAGTTTTGATTGAATACAAGTTGTAACTGATGTACATTACTTAACTGTTCTCATAGTTTTTTTTCCCTTTCTTTTGTTGTTCCTCTGGAAAATGTCAATACAATTAAACGAGACTGACATAAAGTCTGCATACATTCAGCAGTGACAGATGTGCAGGGAGCGTTGTGTTTTGGTGACCTGTGACCTGACTATGCAGCCTGTGCCGTCAATAGAGAGGTGTCAAATGTATAGGGGGTAATAAGTACGGAAGCAACAAAGGGAAATACGTGGAAACTGGCGGTTAGTTAAGAAGACCAGCCAGAGGCAGCTGTTTTCTCACATGGCAGACAGTGAGGAATTTCACATTCTCAAAATAAAGGTGACAGTTCATAAGACCAAGCCGCTTAATTTTTCTGGTGGAAAAAAGGAGAATCTGTTATGTAGTCCAGTACATAGGCCATGTGTTCTGGTATCATGAGTGCTGACAGAGGATACTGATAACATAATATATTATGTGTTCACATGCAACATTGAGCTTAATGAGTTTAGTTTGTATTACTAGGTTTGCAGTACTTGTTACTTTGGTAGACGTATGGCTTGCAAGCATTCTTTGGTTCACAGTTCATAATTAATATGGGTTGAAATGAGGTCAGTGATTGGGTTAATGGGATTCTGTGTTTAATTACTAAACATAGAATTTATTATTCTACTTTAGCCCGTGAATGTGTTCTCAAACAGCTGTACGCGTGTTTTCTGCCAGCCTCAAAAATGGAGCTACATCTTTGAACAGATAGCATTAGACTGTGTCTCTCTGTCAGATTATTAGTAAGTAGTACAAATACAACCCAGCTGCTGTATGTGTCATGCTAGAAAAATCACAAATTTGGTGCAAGGAATTGCTGTATACCTAAATACCATAACATGATTATAACTCACTTATAAACACTTATAATGCTGTGGATTCCTGTGTATGTATGTGTGTGTGTGTGTGGGGGGGGGGGATGTCTCGGGGAGTTTTTTCAAAACCTGTGAATGCAGTCAAAAACCTAAAAGAAGCCTGGTATTTTGTTTGAATACTTACGGTTAAAATTAGGGCTGAGTAGGAGTTAAGATTGCCATACTTGGGAATAGTGTCATGTCCATTGAAATGAATTAAGATATAAGCTAACACTTTACATACCTTTCACTTCCATAATGCCTTCATAATACATTCGTAGAACATTCAGTGCACCTTCATAAAACATTCATAGGACATACATAAGCAGCACGTAAGTATACCTTAACGTTGTAAAATACTTTGACAACTGTAGTATACCTTAATTAACATTACGCAGTTGGTTATTGTCATACAATGTTTGTTTTTAATGTATATTAATGCGTTATAAATGTATTATGAGGGTGCACTGAATGTTCTATGAATGCGTAATGTATACATTTATGAAGGTGCAGTCAATGTTAAACGTTGCCAGAAATAGATATGTAATTTGTGTGTGTGTGTGTGTGTGTGTGTTTGTGTGTGTTGGTCATGTATATATTACATGTCCCTACGAAATGTCCCCACATTGTGATAAAAACCTTTTATTTTATTTTGTGGGGATGAGGATCTTCTCAGTCCTCATAAGGGGGAACTCAGTTTTATAAAAATCTGTGACGGCAATTAAAAAAAACTACAAAAGCCGAAAGTCTTGTATTTTGCTTGATTCCTGTGGTTAAGGTTAGTTTTGGGGAGGGGTTAAGGTTGTCCTTGGGAAAAAGGTTTTTCCCTTAGAATTGAATGGAGGGTCCCCACAAAGACATGAATACAAATTTGTGTGTGTGTGTGTGTGTGTGTGTGTGTGTGCATGTGTATTACCTGGAACTTTTGCCTGGAGTTTGTGGATAGCAGCTTCAGAATGTATTTTGATGATGAAGCTCAACTTCGGGAGGCTAAGAAAAATATTGCTTGATGTCTACAAATGCTTAGGTTCACAAAGTGACAGAGAATGCATCTTATTGCTATTGCTGGAATTTATATTTGTAATAAATCAATATAAGCATTGATGTTTCATAACAGCATCTTTACATTCTCAAATTGCCTTAAGACAATGTAATAGTCAACATTATTTGACATACATTATTGATTTAGTAGTGGTTTCTTTTGTTTTTTTGCACTAAAGCAAACTTACAGTAGATATGTTATAGAATATATATTCTACAATATTCAATTTCAGAACTTTTTTCTGTACTTTAAAGTGAATAGAAAATACAATCATCGTTGTACCTAAAATTTGTTTCTAACATATATAATTGGTTCCTTGATAACTTTCTTAGAGTTTTGTCTGGAAAATTCTGCAAATGTCTTTGTAATTTGAGGCAGAAGAGTTATAGCCAATATTTAAAAGTGAACCAAAAGCCTAACAATCTGTTTCTCTTTAAATCTTTCCTTCAGCATGCCATCACTGCAAGCTTTTAATATAAAACATGCTATGCTCACTGCCTATAAATTACATATAGACGAATATTGTTTAGACAATAATTTAAGGTGACATTCACATGCAGTTAATACGTCCTGCAAGCACCTTTAATTTATAAACCCAGCTGAACACATGTCTGCCAAGGTGCATTACCTGTACACAGTTTTACAAAGTCAATTTTTGGAAGAACATGTAATTTGGTACATTTATTTATTTTTCACTCACTTTGTCTCACTCTTGTACATTAATATTGCTTGTTTCAAAATGTAAGGGAGGAGGAAATCTTACCTATGATTTTAGAAAAATAGGTTAAACCACGCTCGGGACACAAACAGTTTTCAAGGAAAAAAAAAACGAAATCATAACATTTTCTGACCTACAAGGATATATTTTAGTAATGTAATGTATGCCACAATCTTAAAGGTAAAGCCTTTGTGTGTCTGTGTTAAGCCTTAAGGAGAAAGACCTAAAACTGTTTTATTGCTTTTTTGATTTGTACTACTGTTAGCCAGACATCATGTATTCCAACACTGTAGAATTTTTATAAAGAACTCTTCCCAAGGGGATAATGGTTACAAAACGAAAAACTCACTCATAACCATTATGATTTCCGATTTTTTATTTTTTTATATAATAATCTTGAATTGTTTAGCATGTTGGTACTTAATACCCCATGGCAATGAGTCCTTCCCATATCACTAAGTATGTGAATATTTTAAGCTTGATTATTTTTGTATTATTACTTGATAGATGTTCTTTTGACCAGGTTTTATAAAGGCAATTCATATTCTCCCAAATAACATTTTTTATATCCACCCTGCAGCAATCGATAATCAAACTGAAATGCTGCAGAGATGTAAACACTTTAGATGCTATTGTTTCAGAAAAAAAGTAAAGCAACAATTTGACTAGGATTTTGCTTAAAAACAGATACCTGCACTTTATCCTGTTGTTGTTTGGAATGTCTTGAAAGGGTTTGATTAAGCATACTTTGGTACTTTAATATCTATTGAAATCTCTTTGTCCTCCACACACCAAAATGTACATTTGCGGAATGGTGAGGAGCAGAAGAGACCCAGTAATGTGATGCAGTGGTGGATTCTGGACTATGTCCTTTGTAGATGAATCGCTTGTTACTTCTGAAAACAAGGCCCTGTGTTTTTCCTCGAGACCCTAGGCTAGCACCCTAAGCAATAACCGATTTATTTAGATGCACCTTTGTAACTACCAGTCCATGGAGGGTTGGCCCAATGGCAACAAGTTTATTATTTAGGAGCAAATATCAGCTTACTTTTCCCTATCACTGCAGTTCTGTGGTACACAGTAAGAGATCTGGCTTAAAGGTACAGTACATTGTTGGTTATCTATTCAGAAAAAAAGCAAATCAATGTGTCCTTGAAATATTGTATGCATTTTAATCAATGTTTAGTGTTGCATTACACTCATCGATTACATGTCTGTATTTTTCAGGTTGCACTGAAACTCGTTTTTTTAACATACAAATGAATATGTTTGTACTACTCATTTCCTAACACTTAATTTAACAATTTTAGCATTTTACTTTTCAAAGATCTTCTTTGCTTCATTTTGCTTCTAAGAAAAAAATTCTAGCCTGAAGTGGGTTATCTTTGTTACTTTCTTAACTCAGATGATCTCCAGTCCAGTGACTGTTAAATTGCCTGCTTTTAAGGTTGAGTGTCTTGGGGCTTCTTTCATGTTCACTGTGAAATAAGGTGGACCATTTCAGTCAATACAGCACTTGTAAGCTTCACCGACCTCTTCAAATCGCTGTAATATCTCACATTCATTGTGATTTACTTCAAAACAGATTAGCAAAATAAAAGCAGCTGATACTTGTTTTGTTCTTGTTAAATGCTTTACTTGTATAGCTGCTATATCTG